AACCTAAACAAAATAAACTTTTCAAATTGATAGCTTTTAACCGCGCTTTTATGACTGCTAAGGGTCATTGGGTATTTATTTCGTTTTTATGACTTTCGATGTTTTATGTCAAAAGATTGTCAGTAATTTTTTTGTTGCGGTTTGTTGAAGTTTGATTTTTTAATAGATATTTTAAACAATGTTACTTTGGAGATTATCAGATTTGTTTTTAAAGCTGATTTGTTTGAATACTTGTAAGTCTATTTATCTTTATTTGTAGATAATAAACGACGAAACGTAATGATAGCTTTTCAAATTACAGTCTGTGCGATAAAGTTTTTATTGTTATTTTAGCACCCTAACGAAAGTTTAATTGCATTAATCAATACAAAACGTAAGGGCCACTCGAAACACGCGATGTTTCTGCGAAATTTATTTTCAATCATAAACGTAAACACTTTTTTTTAATTTACTAGGAATTATTATTGACGCTAACGGCTACTTTAATATTTAGTTCTTATGAATGTTTTTAATATTAATATTTTTAAGAATAAAACATTGTTAAATTTTAAAATTTTTATCTTTCTTTTTTCTCAGTCGGTTACTCGTTAGATCTCAGTTCGTGAAGGATCTCTCGTAACATAGTTGCAAAGAGTAAAAATCCGCAGAATCGAAGTTTGTGAAATTCTTTAAAATACACCGCATAGCTGTTCTAAAGAAAATACCTCATTCACGGTAGCTCGGTACATTTTCTCCCGAGTCTTCTATTAGGACTTTTTCTTTGTTATACGCAAGAATCTTAGCACTTTAATAGAATACTCTCAAAAGGTTCCGTATTTGTAAAACTAGTACAATTATTTTAGAGCAACAAATATAACTATTTCTTTATTATTATTACGAATATATTAAATGGTATATTAAGCTCGCGTTTAATTTATTCCTATATTTTGGTTTTTATACTTTATATACCGAGTTACCTTTGAAGTTAGCGCTAAAGGTAAATTATTTTTTATGTATGTTACTGACCAAAGTTCGAGAGAATTTAGTTTATACATATATATTAACATTATGTTTAACATATCTGATTAATATTTCGAATCAATTCGGGAAATAGTAAACAGGACAAATACATTTTGTGGTAAATTAAACGACTTTCTTCGCCTTGATTTATTTATTTCCTCAATCACTTATAATACACAAGGGACATATAAAAGTGGCTTCCCTTACATCCCCATACCGTAACATTTATTTTTTATATTCCAAACCATAAAAAAAGATTTAAATATACACATCGAACACCCTTCATTTCTGTGGATCATAAAAACAAAGAACGCGGAACCCTAAAGCTCAGAACATCGAGATAAATTCTGTAGCAGAGACGCTGTAATAAAACACGTACGACTACGACGCGGTACATTTTATTTCAGAGAGCGATAAGGACTCGAGGAATTCCTTTTACAAAGTCCTCGCGAGGGGACGTTGCAGGGGTTTGTGCGACATCTGGTTTGTGTCTTGCCCCTTGAACTCCATTGACTTTCGAAAACATTGGCCACTTATATTATTTGCACCCCAATAATATTCATCGTTCGATGATTAAATCTGCATGATTAAGTGCAGCTAAGGAATGCATCTTCGGATACAAATAATTGACACGAATAAAAACAAATTGGTTCCTTCAATCAAATGAAATAAGAGTATGTTTTTGGTCAAGCTTTTCGGTAGTAGAATATCACGATCATATTATTCAGAGACTGTGTAGTATAGCAACTAAATTAATAGTCGGCACGGAAGATTGATAATGAAGTCTTCAATCTTAGTCTTTGGTGGTAATAATCCATCAACATTTATTCTTTCTATTTGACATTGTGGATGTATTTATACGTTTCAAATATAATAAATATATTTTTTGTAATATCCAATAAGTGCCCTATAAAAGTAAATAAAAAAATACTTGACTAATCTTGCAAATGTCGGGTCCAGCATTAACGTTAATCGATTTTGAATGGTTTTAGGTTTAGGTTAATGCTTAGATTAATAATAGGTTGCGATTTTTTGCATATTGAAATCGGAGGCTAATTATAGGTTTGCTAAATTCCGAGTAGTATTTTAATAAGCAAATAAATAACATCCTGTACATTAAGTAGTAGTTTAATCCGGGTATTATTTATTATTTCAAAAACTTGAGCTGTGTCACAAAATTGGATAGTCGTGATGACAGTTTATTTTGACAACAAACTTACTCAACTGTTAAAGATAGCCTGATTATTAAATGCATATATTTCCAAAAAAAATCTCAACGTTATTATAACCAGACAGTCTCGTGTTTTTTGAATAGAAGCAACCAGTGTTCGCGCCCCCACAAAACTGTTTATCGTCGATCGACCGTCACGAACTGCGCCTAAAAACTCCTGTAATAACAGAGTACGCTCCGTCTACGTTCAACCCAAATAACCCTACAGTAAATGAAAAGCGAAGTGTATTAAACCAATCTGAAACTTGTACATTAACTAGTTTTATGCAAATCACGCTTCAGTGCCCTGTTTAAGTGGCCCAAGAAAACATTAATCATATAACAATGTAGGCTGTATTATGCATAACGATCCGGGGATGCGTGGCGCGATGGAGAAGGGGGCAAGAAATTGATGGAGCCGTGTCAACGCGCTCAATTCACAGTTAATTATCTTTGATAATAGCACATATCAGAAATCTTTCAATTCGATATTCTATGCCGTGAATTGCATGAGTTATTTACGAGATGACATGGCCCTTTTCAATGTCCATTGATTACTTCCTGTGTCTTCTTTTATTCATCACTGGCAAATATTTGCATTTATAATATAAGTAAGATTACCTTAACGTTTAATAGATAGATGGCACCTACGTTAATATAACCTACAATTTTAATATTTGCGCAATGAATGATATCAACATCGTGTCATCATCAGCAGCTCACTATACGTCCCCACCGAGGAGCTCGGAGCCTAGCCTAAGTTAGGGGTGATTAGACCAAAGTCAATCACGCTGGCCAAGTGCGGGTTGGTTGACTTCACACATATCTATGAATTTCTTCTCAGATATGTGCAGGTTGCATCACGATGTTTTCCTTCACCGTAAGAATGTCGGATAACACATTGGTACATGACGGGATTTGAACCCAGAACCTTCAGATTGCAAATCAAGTGCTTAAGCCCTGAGCCACCGACGTTCTAACATCGTGTACGATATTTGAAATGTAATGAAATTCGATATTTCCATAAAGAATTTCGTTTTATTTTGCGAGACAACTCGGCGTATGTCAGCTAATACAGCAATACTTTCCATCGGTCATAAATCCATTGGCAAACTTTCCTCATTAGATTGAGAAGCGGCGCTGAACTCTGTGATTGATTCTATTTATTGTGGATATATTACTTGAGATTTCTTCCTAATAAATGTTTGGAAATGGATCTCTGTATCGTGACTTTAATATTACGATGTAGCTTATAAATTAGAAAATAAAATACTTATTTTCACAAATAAATGAGTAAATAATATTTGCTTTTACATTACAAACATAAGTAATTTTTATATAGCTCTATTTCTTTTAGATGGATGGATGTTTGAAGGTCTCTCCAGAACGTCTGAACGGATCTCGATGAAATTTGGAATACATATAGGACAGTCTGAAAAAAAATATGCTACTAATTATGTTTTTTTAGTTTCAGACGGACGGACTCAAGAGTGTCAGCTAGTTTTTAATATAGCTGAAATAAGAAGACTGAACGAAGTCTTTTAGTCTAATAAAGTAAAATAGAATATTTAGTATAATCAATTGAATAGTAATAGGAACTACTGTATACATAGCGATATATAAATTTATATTGTACATTGTTTTTGCAAACTATAGCTGGTAGACACAAAACCCGACTGTTATTAATAATATTTATGTAGGTACATTTGAAAGTTTGCCAAAGTTTGTACATGAGTTGTAAAAATTGCTTCCTATAAAACTAACCAGACAAATATAACTCATATTCATCCATTACGCATAAAGAAGCAATTATATCATACAAAGAAATTGTTGGATGCGATGAACCTAACAGACACCGACCCCATAACTTGCTCTATGTATAGATGTATGAAATCCCTTATAGTCTGCTTACCTCTAAAACGTCAAGACTAGGTGACGTCATCACACTCAAATCGTATATTATAATACAGTAGAAAATGCTTTGGTAAATAATTCAAGTTAATAGCTATAAACACGTATGACGCTTTGTCCAAATGCAAGTTGGCAAGGTCCATAAGAGGTCACAGTAAATAGAATTGCAGATGCTAATGGAATCGGATTAGCATCGCTCACTGAGTGCTGTGTACGTTTCCACTTAGCCTACGATAATGTATATGTTAGTACTTCATACAGTGACAATCTGGTATTAATTATTATACTATCTGTCGTCAACGACTCTGTCTGCGCGGTATTAAAAATTACTTAGTAGCCTATGCGCTTCCAGACGTTGTTCTATATCTGTGCCAAATTTCATCCGACATCCGTTGAATCGTTCTGAAGGTACCTTCCAACATCCATCAAACCATATTAGTAAGATTTTAAAGGATAATTGTTTATTGTATTTGTTATCATGTAAAGCTCTATATTTGGCTGTATAGATTTAAAAACTATGAATCAATAAATTGACAGACGCGGGATGTGAGAAATATGTTTTTGTTCTGTTACCACTGTAGTTTTCCGAAGGATGTTAATAAACCATTATTTGTTCACTTTATGGCTTTTTTGGTACCTTAGTGGGGAGTGGAAAACCTTCGAAAGTTACCCTGCCTCCTGAAGGGAAAACAGGATTACTTGGGGTTTTACCTAGTAAAACTCGCCCTGTAGACAATCTCGAGTGCAATAGGACAGGCTTGACTAGTTTAGGTCCTAGTACAAAGCATTAAAATGCCTTCATGAAATATCTCCAAAACTCGTAGCTTTTTCACGGTCATACCAATAAGCGTACAAAATAAGGTAAGCATGTGGATTTTACCTGATGGGGGGTGTAGCTAGGCGCCGCGTAGGTCTGCGGCTGGGGCGGCGGGTAGCGGCAGGGCTGCGCGTACGCCGCGCCCCACTGCTGCCCGCCGCGGTACTGGGCGCCCGCGCTCGCCATGCGCGCCGCGCTCTCCCCCGCGCACGCGCCCCCGCCCCCGCCCGCACTTGCGACTGTCACCGCGCCCGCACTCTCTACGCTCGCAGAACGGCACCCGCCGCTACTCTGTAATGAAAAAAATAACAAAACTATAAAAACTGCCTGTAAAACATCAACTTATAGTAAGTAAATAGTGACCCCCCATAATCCAGGCTTAGCCGAGGACGTTTTTTCCCACGTAATTTGATGGATAAAAGAGTTCAATTGTTTAGTTTAAAAAAAAAATCGTTCGATACGAAATTGACATATCCATTCAATAATATATAATTCCCTTCAATCAGTTCTACGTAAAGAAGTTATGCAAATGTTTACTTTTTTAATTTACACTTTTTCGTGATATGAAATAATTTGCTCGAAAATGTTTTCGATAATAAAACTGCCTCTCAGTAACGTTTCTAAACTAAGTTGCTTCTGTCAGGGCGCTATCTAACTTCATATATTAGTTTCCAAACTGAAACCTAAGTCAACAAACTACCTAAACCGCATCAAATCCATTCACTAGTTTCTCGCTGGAGATAAATAGAGGCATCACGTTAAAATATAATTAAAGTTAGCAAATAAAAATCAAAAATAAACAAATAACTCAATAACTTTAAAAATGTAGAATTTAATATGGTGAAATAAAATAAATCTAAAGAATTTAAATAAGGTAATAAAATAAATTTATTGTTTCCTACTGTATTCTGTGTACAGTGAGCGATGCATCCTTGCAAATATCCTTTAGAAAATCGCAAGAACGATACAACAAATGCGTCTCGTCTCAGCCAAATGACCTTTGTAATGTAATAGTTTATTGCATCATATTCTGACGCAGAGGCGTCTCAAGTAGTAGCATGTACACTTTCCCAGTCTGCAAATCCTTACTTTTATACGATTTCTACTAGTTTCCATATTTGTCCAACGTAATATTAGTTCATATTGACTACGCAAATCAATACAGTATAGAGTTATTTTCTCTTCATTGTGTCTGGTTTGTTGAAGTTAAATGTATGACATACGATGTAGATTGCCTTTAGTTAATAATGACATTGTGGTAAAAGGAAGATTTTAAGTAGTTAATAGGACTAGGAACACTTTCACTCTAATCTCTCTCTCTCTGTACTAATACTTTCATTACTTACTATGTTAGGTCAGTCTAAACGTTTAATAGCTCTACATATCAAAATTACATTAGTATGGTCAGTGCAATCTAACACAAGAGAGGATTGTGATCATTTTTATATAAAAAAAAGTGTAGCCCTCACGATAGGACTTGTATTAAAAATATTGGTTGCACTTATTATTCTAACGGAGCTCGCTCACCGAAAATGAGATTTATAGCTGTAATAACAATGTATAATTTTCACCCGGCGACCCCCATATTCGGACTTAATTATTTGAGTCACGGAATTCGAAAAACCGCCCCGGAAAGCCTCCGGGATCAAAGCTACGCTATCGTTTTTTTTTCTTCCGAGTAAATAACGTTCTTATCTTTTATAACTATATTTAGCACTGAAAAAAATAGGTGAGCAGTGCGGTAAGGCGATAAGCCTTCAATCCGCTTAGAGTGCGTGGGCGTACAGGCCAGGGAATTAGGGTAAAATATATATTCTTAATGACCGCGACCGCTGGCGGTCCCTCCTTGCTTTCCGTGGTGGCCAACTTATACGTTTTTTCAACGAATTGTGACGTTTACAAAAATCAAAAAGTATATGAAGCACGCTTATTTTTTGTCGTAAATTTTAACAAGGAGAAGATTATGTTTTTAAAAATAAAAACCTACTTTTTCATCGGAGACGTTTTGAAAATGAGATTAGAACGAAGAGGGTAACAGCTGATATTATTTCGGTTCGAAGAACATTGACTTAAGTGCGTGCGTGACGAAAGAAATCGGATAATATTTGATTAATGTCTTTCGAACTTTAAATATAAGTGTTATTAATAGATTCTTAACTTATTTTACAAGTTAAGTTATTCCAAGTAATTATTCTATTGTGGTAGGTCAATTTTGAAGCTTTTGTTATGATAAAGTACAAGAACAAAGGTTATTGTTACAATTTAGCAAAATATAATGATTGTCCGAATTGTGGGCAGTCATTGCAAGCCCGACGCGACGCGACGGGCGGGTCGGAATCGTCCCGTGTCGGTGTGGGTGATTAAGCCAATTATCTCTAATTGTGCTGATAAGTGTAATGAGGGAATGTTTTCCCAGATGGGGGATTCAACATGTATCACGTAGGATACCTTATTTAGTCATATAACGGGATGTGGCTGCTTAGCTGTTTATCACGTTTCAGTTGGTCGAAACTTAAGCATTCAAATCTTTGGATTTTTCTTCGCATTGTTTTGGTGTATGAGGAGTGCCAGCATTAATCTTAATTTCTCCATTCCTATTATCGGTTTTATAACGTCAAACTTCATCAATTCATTTCCCTTCCCAATCTTTAAAGGTACTGTAGTAAGCATTTAAGCTTACTTAATATTTTTGTAAATATTGTGTTGATCAAATGCGACAAAAAATACTGTTCCATGTATTAATAGTCTGTTACTTAGCGGTTGTTGGGAGGCGTGAAGTCCTTCGCAGAGGACGAGGCGTCGCGATGTCGCGTTGGCATCGTCACGTCGCCGTCGCTTGCAGATAATCCCCCCCTGCCCCGCAACCCTCCAACGAGTCCTTTATGGCCCTTTCAGTACTCATGAATCATGTTGTACGACTTTGTCTTTGTTTGCTTCCTTTATGAGTTATTTATAGGACGCTTAATGTTAATACTTTATGTGTCACACATATTTTTTTCATTGATTTCACTATTTCTTTTTTTCATCACTTTGAATATTATGTATTTCCAAAAGTGTTTAAAACTTTTTATTGTTATATATAGGTACTTGCGGATGTTTGGTCTCAAAATGGTTTCAATGCGAAGCGTTTATGGATATTCTTATTTGAAACCTATTGTTTAATAGCTAACGATAATTCTTCTAGGGCGGCTAATAAGCTTCGGCTGAATATCACTCGATCGTAAGACCAACAAGGCTGGAATGAAGTGAAGATTTACTCACTACGTGCGATTTAAAATTCCTGTAGTAATTCTTTATTGCACTGTTTATCCCTCTCTGTATTACCATTATATTGTGACTTGTGTGAGATAGCTTTTTTTCCACAATTAATAAGTTCATGTCATAATTACCTGTAGAATTTTGTTATCTATTTGGTATGGAGATTTATTTATATCACCCTTTTGCGATTATCCAAATGGTTTTAAAATGGATAAATTATACATTTAAACTACTAGACACTGGGAATATTCTACTTTATGTAAACTAAGGTTTAGTTAAATAAATTATTCATAATGTATACAAACATGAATGTTATGTTTATTTTTTTATATTTCAATGTAAAAAGCACTGAACTTATTTTTTCCTCTAATTTACACTGTTACTGTGATTAAATAAAAATGTTGATTTTGTTGTATAAACAATTAAAATCTTAAATATCAAAGCGAGGTTCAGGCGTTAGAGGGTCGGGTATCGCAAATTAGAAGGCGCCTCAAACATTTCATCTAGTCGCAAGCATCCTCCTCTCGTACCCCCTCCCCAAATGATTGCCGGCAGGTCACAGGCGGCCACAAACAAAGCCGCGATGACAGGAACAGTTATCTTCCCGGAATTCCGAATGCCGCTCCTGAATTGTTGTCCTATCAACGATGTGACTAATTCGCTGCGCAACCGACAGTTATCAATATTGTGTACGTCACTAGGAATAATTTACAACATAATTTTGGAACAATATATTAATTTCTGATAATACGTTTAGTTTTTAAATATAATATTTGCAGACGTAGAAATTCATTGAACCAACACGGTGTAAATTTAAAAACCGAACTAAACCACTACTGTAACGAGGTAAATAAATTGTAAAGTGATTGTGTTAAAACGTATACTCTACGGTTTACTTATGTAATTACATACGTTGACAGATTATGACAATATAACAATATAAAAAAATTCATATTAAACTTTACAAATAATTTCATCAGAATTTTTACTTTATACAAAGTGAAATGACATCCTACAATAATTACTTGCACGGACGGTTTTCTCGTGCGACTTTCGATTTGTACGTGTACCAATTATACACCCGCACGCTTTCATACAATGCCTTAATTGATATTTTTTCTCAATAAAACAATCAAAGTTTATTTGTGCAATCAAAGTAATCGTTGCTATTGTGCAAGCCATTTAACAAACTAAAATGATTTCGTGCTTTTTTTTCTGTTTTTTAGACCGGCATCTATGCCTGAATATTCAGGACTTTATCAATTAGATTCCTAGACTTTAATAAGTTACATCATTAGAATTTGAATAATGTATCAAATGTCTAGAATGTTTAATTTTTACCGTACAATGTTAAATACAACACCCGCTTAGGCTAGGTCAGATATAATCTGAATCGCATTCAGTCTGTGGACATGCCCCTATGTCGCCACTGTCGCAGTTGGCACATACTTTGGCTGCATTTGACAAATGACGTCGTTCATTGTCTACATAAAAAATACAAAATGAACCCGCTCGAAAGTATCCGAGATGTAATTGTGAAACGCGCACGGAGCACCGTGACCGCATGATTACGATATAAGCGCAACCTACAGAGGTGGGATAGCAAGAGGATTATTCAGCAGTTTTTGCTCCGGTCGTCGGCACATTTGTATGCGATTCGCTTCGGCGGTGGCGGCCGCCGGCTAGATTAGCAGCTCTATCGCTACATGGACTGTAATTAAATAGTTTTTGAGTCATTCCGCACTAACATCACATAGTGCGAACGTATAGTTCATCAGATGTAGAAGCACTAAAGCCTGTGACGTAGTTACGTAGGTGATAATTACAGATATTTGTCGACTCCTTTCTTTTACGTCAACTCCTACACGCACATAAAAGTTTTAATATATAAGACACTACTATATCGATATTACTATTCATGTATTAATATTTTACTCTACTTCTAGGTCTATTGAACGCAAACTTCTAAATAAAATATATTCAGATTCTTCTCGAAATCTCCTAGTTTACAGGAAGCAACTGTCAAGAGCTTG